AACCGATGCATCGCATCGTTAACTTTTTATGCCGATGCACCGAGCGACATATATATATATATATATATATATATATATATATAATTTATTTATTATTATTATTATTTAAATTCCAAGCACAATTTGAAAATATTCCAAGACTCATCTGTGAAAGAGTTAACGTTAAACGTCAGTAGGAGGAGAAAACAGGAAGTGGCCAAACCCTTTAACACAGTCCGATAACTTCACACAAATACCCACGCACCCTTGTGGAACATGACGGGTGTAACTCGCTGCACCTCTTCATGATCGAGGTGAATGGGCGGGGATGTAAACCAGACTGTCTGTCGATCATCGAAGAATCTTCAGCAGCATCTTCATTATCAGATGCGCGTGTGATAATCACTGCGGTGGAGCCGCGGCACAGACTCCAGACACGAGTGCAGTGAAAGATGAGGTGAGTTTATTACTGCGTCTCAAAACATATTGTACCACACCAACGGTAAATACCGAACTATTTGAAGTCGTCAATTTATTAACTATTTATAGTCACGTTCCGATTTTGGGGTGCCTGTTATGCCCAAAAATGCGGTCTAGGTAGGCAACACATTAAAGGGGTCATATGATGTTGTTAAAAAAGAACATTGTTTTGTGTATTTGGTGTAATGAAATGTGTTTATGCGGTTTAAGGTTAAAAAAACACATTATTTTCCACATATTGTACATTATTGTTTCTCCTCTATGCCCCGCCTTTCTGAAACGCGTCGATTTTTACAAAGCTTATCGGTCGGAAAAGCAAGGTGTGCTCTGATTGGCCAGCTATCCAGTGTGTTGTGATTGGCCGAATACCTCAAGCGTGTGACGGAAATGTTACGCCCCTTACCGTACTGTGATGCCCTGTCTGGCCGGAGCGACGAGACAAAAACATTAAAACCGTTATAAATGAGGCATTTGTTGCATCCAGTGGGGACATAATTATGGATTATAATGACTTATACTGTCTTTTTACGCGTTGCGTTGCATCGCGCCGCGTAAACATAAAACCATGTCTGCATTTTTGATTGGAGAAATGACAAACTACAAACGCTATTCTACACTGCTCAGAACTTGCGTTTGAATCATCAGTGA